CTAGAAAGTTAGGTTTTAGTGTTCCATATACATTTCCAGGCTCAAACCCCAAATGTATTCTTAAAAACTCTAATTTTTGGAGACTTAAGAACCCAAAGAAAACAAGCCCACAGTTTATAAAGTCCTTTGAAAATAAAGCCCAAAGGTCATGCCAAGATGCTAAATAAGGAAAGACGGGCATTTAGAAGATGGAGAGAAACAAGCAGAGCCCAGTGAAAGGACGCAGCAGCAGATGTGATCAATGAAGAGCACAGAGGCACTTGGAGGAGGAGGGCTCGTCCATACGGTGGGGACAGCTCATTAGCAGCACAAACAGGGACACCCTCCAAGTCAAGTGGGTTTTTTCCCCAACCAAACCAAGATGCTTCTCTTCTTATTCCTTAAAAAGATCCTCTGTTGCCTTCGAAATACTCATGGTCAGTTGCTTCCTGTCCCCTGCCCTGCTGTGCCACCCGATGTGAGCTGGCCCTTGGCACATTTGCATTTCGTGCCATAGCATTTCAAGAAGAGCGTTTTGTTTCCTTTTTTTAATTATGGCTAAAAAAGTACATATACACAGATGAACCAACCATTTTCACTTCTGCCTTTTGTATGGGTGCAATTCAGTAACGCGGATTATTTCCACCATGCGGTCCAACTATCCTCATGATCTGTTTCCAGGTGTTCTGGTTGCCTTTAACTCCCTAAGAAGTTCATACCTGTGAGTAAAATGTGCTTAGAAACACTTGTGAGTTCAAATGAAACTGCAGATACTTAGCATTTTTAAAAGTTATGTTATCGGGACAGTAAATATCACACTTCCCCTGAAACAGCCAGGTCCAAGGACACATCTACACAGAGGACACACCGTCTGACGGTCACGTCGCTGTGACTGGGGAAAGCGAGGGAGCTCTCCATCAGTAACACATCTCCCACAAGCTGACTTTGGTTTGGGTGAGGCATCTTCTATGGCAATAAAAAGAGTATGTTCACCGAAGCAGCACTCTTATCAGTGAGTCGTTCCGACCCATAGCCACCATGGAGGACAGAGGAGAACGCTGTCCCATTGGGTGTCCGAGGCTGAAGCAGATCGCCACGTCTTTTCCCCACGGGGCAGCTGGTGGGTTCAGCCTCCACTCGGCATGAGCAGTGAAACACTTGCTTATCCCAGTTAAGACCCTAGACTTAGCAGCCACCACGCGAGCCTATCTCTGAGATAGTTGGCATGAGGAGAGGCAATTTGTGGAGTTAATTCAACGGCATCTTTGTTGCAGGGAGACCTCAAACGTAGCCATTTCCCAGATACTGTGATGGGATAGCACAGACAGGTAGAAGGTGTAAATGTCCTGGAGCTCCGAGTTCTACTCCTGCAGGGTGCAGGCTTCTCTGGGACCCTGACCTTGGGCATGTTATTGTGAGGAGACCCTTGGTGCAAAGGGGTTGGCTTGTTTCAAACCCAACCATTTGCTTGCAGCCCCTTTGGGGAGGGACACCTGCTGGTAATCGGTGCCACTTGGCGAGTTGTCAGGCAAGATGGGAGGAGCCCTGGTGCCACCGTGGTGGTGGGTGCCAGTCACCTGCTCAGCAGTTTACAGGAGGAAAGTGTGGCAGCCTCCTGGACAGCCTCGGAGTGGCCTAGGACACCCGAAAGGGCAGCTCTGCTCTGTCCTGTAGCATTGCTGTATGTCAGAGTCCACTCGATAGCAATAGCTTTGCTTTTTTTAAACAAGAAGTTTTAGAGAAGGGCCTGCATGATTTACTTCTTACTATTATCTCATTCAATTAGGGCATCTTCACATTCTATCTGCAAACTAGGTAAATAGGTACCATTCAGAGGAGTGAAAGTTAACATACAAAGAAGGTAACAGCAAGAAGCAAACAACGAAAAACGTTTCCCTTATTTATGTAAAAGTATCCCAAGGAAATTGCAATGGATAATATTCACCTCATAACCATTGTCCTAGGTCTGACTATGGATAATCACCAAAAGCCAGCTCACTGCCATTGAGTCAATGCTGACTCCCAGCGACCCGATAGAACAGGGTCGAATTACCCCGGTGGTTTTCCAAGACTGTAACTCTTATGGGAGTAGAAAGTCCCGTCTTTCTCCCAACTATGGAGAATAGCAATTGTTAAATAACAATGGCTTAACCACAAGGGTGTGTTCTCTCATGAAACTTTAGAAATAAAAGCAAGTCAGTTGCCATTGAGTTGATGCCAGCTCCTGACAATTCTGTGTGTGTCAGAGTAAAACTGTGTCTGTAGGGTTTTCAATAAGGACTCCTAGTAGTATAGTGGTTATCCTACCAGGGCTGCAATCCACATGGTCAGCAGTTCGAAACCACCAGCAGCTGTGAAGGAGAAACCTAGACTTTCTACTCCAGTAAACAGGTACAGTCTCGGAAACCCACAGGCGGTCACTCTGAGTCAGCATTGACTGGATGGCAGTACGTTTGGTTTCGAGGAGTCTTCAATGACTGATTTATCTGAGGTAGCTCATCAGGCCTTTCTTGTGAGACACCTCTAGGTAGATTTGACATTTCAACCTCTTAACCACCCAGGGACTGTCCACTAGACTAAGTGGGCCACGTTGCTACCCGATAAAATCTGGATTTGGTTACTCAGAAAGAAGCCAGGAATGGATGTTATAGATAGACAACAAGTCAACAGCCTTTGGCCACACCATCCAAACTAAGAGCGTACTTTGCAGACAAGCATGCTTCCTCTAGGGGTTTCAAGTCGGCCTCTTAGCAGGATATGAGTTGTCCACGATCTTTTCATGGAACTAGGAATCAACTGCTGAATTTTGTTGTGCTACCCTTAGCCTCTGAACCTTTTGAGTCATTTAAGATCTCAGTGGCTCAATCTCCTGACTTCTAAAGTAGATGAGCAAGAAGTAAGGTAAGAAAAACGATGAACTATGAGCCCATGAAGTGGAAAAATGCTTGTAATTGAATACTATTATGAAGACCCGTATCATGCCAGAACTAGCTTAAAAATCCCCTTATTTAATTACGTAAGAAATTACCCTCTTCTGTTTCACTGCCTTGAACTTAGGGCAACTCTGCCTTTTGCCAGTTGCTAAATTATAGTTATTACATCCTAATAATTGTATGGCATTGTTATCTCTCTTTACAGAGACAGTGAGTGGAGAAACGCAAACAATCATTGAGAAAGGTAGGTTAGATTTGGGATATCAAAATATTCTTGTGGGACTTTACAAAACAAAGCAAAGTTTCTTTGGAACTGATTTTTGAGATGGTTGACGTTCACCCTTGGGATGATAGGAGCTGCAGTGGGATAAGCAACCTAAAGAGATCAGATCTCAGACTACTTTTTTAAGAGAAAAAAAGGGGGTTTCCTATATCAGAAGATGAGTCTGGTCATTGAAGGAGAGCTACAGTGAGTGGTTGCATGTGGCCATCGATTGTCACCAAGACTGGAAATGGGCTCTTTTAACACTCGGCAGAAACACTACCCAATAATCCAAAGCGAATCCAGCAAGAGTGTGATGCTTGATACATCCTGAAACGAAACCCATAAATCTGTCCAGGCGTAAGATGCAGTTTGAAGTTTCTCTGGTTCTAAATCACTTTCCACTGGATGTCGGAGAAATTACCTAGATGGGTATATGCTGTGCCCAGTGGGGCTGGGATGCTGCTTATGGGTGGCGTGTGTTGTCACAGGCTTACACCTCATGCCCTCCCCCCATTTCATTTTTGTTTCCCCCCGCCCCCCCATTCAGATGGTTTGGCAACGATCACTCTGGTTGGCGTCATTGTGGGGGTCTTGATAGCCGTTTGTCTCGTTGGTGGGGTCATCCTTGTGGCTGTGCGCAGGATGTCTGGAGGATACTCGTAAGTAAACAAAGTAAACAACTCGCACGAACGTGATAAGCGGCCCAAACCTTTGCACTGGTGGAAGCCTCTGTGTAAAGGTCAGCTTAACAAGTCTCCTGATTCCACAAGGACTATTTCTAACGTTGTCTCTGTAGACCAGAGGTCTACTTGGGCCTGCCTGTGCGTTTCCAAAGAGGAACTGTGGTGCCCAGAGATGGCTCTGAAATGGATTTCTGTTCCCTCGCCCCCATGGATTAACTTTCCAGCAAACAATAGATGGGATTCCAGGAGGGTCAACAGTAGCAGCGGGGGTGCAGTGGGGGGGACATGTCTTCAACCACACAAAATCCGAAAGGCAGCCATTTGCCCAGGGCGAAAACTGGGCAGGCAGGAACAGTAGGAAAGACAGATGGAGGAGCGTGCACCCATGAGAAGGGGAAAGAGTGCTGTTGCATTGTGGGGGCTTGCAGGCAAAGTCTCAAAACAAAATGGATATGAATTGTTGAACAGATCATTATTTTGTTGCGTAAGCCTTCACTCAAATCCCAGTAAGAGTTACCCCCACCCCCCCAAAAACTTTTGTTCCATTGAACAAGACCAAATCTGGTCTCTTGTCTTAACTTGAAACCCAACCCAAGTTCCGTCTTGCCACCTCCTGACTATCCCACCCGCCTTCAGAGGTGGGTGGTTCCCAGAAAAGCATCTGTTGTAAGACTTGGGCTCTCATGCTCTGGAGGGGAGGCCGCGGGGAGTCCGTTGAAAATGGAGTCTCTCACCTAGAACTTGCGTGCACTCCCGCCTGCATGCACACAGCCTAACGTTGCCTCCTGATGAGGGGGAGGCAGTCTTCCTTTGGGTAGAGGTCCAGAGTGACTGAGAACCTTCCGAGTCAGAGCCAGACAAAAGCTTTTCCTTTTGAAAAAGTTGGGAAGATGATGTGTGATGCTGTCAGGGGAAGAGGACAAATGAGCCACAACCAGAGTCAGGGGAGCACCCTTGCAGGATGACTCAGCTGCACCCACAGTGTGTTTGGAAAGACCTGGGAACCAGGCCCTGGTGGTGAAAAGACTCACCATGGGGGGCGTGGTCCGAGAGGACCAGAGGGGAGAAGATCATCAGGTTCTGGAATTGGAAGGCCTAGCGGAAAGGGCAGTAGGAGCCATGACTCACGGGGTTACTGTTCACAGTGCCAGTAAAATAGCTGACAGTCACCTGTCTCTTTGTTTTCACAGGCCCTGAAGAGCTGAAGAATCGTGGCCGTCTGTCAACATGATTTAAAAAGAGAGACTGTTTCCTCCCTCACCTTTGTCCCTGAGCCCCAAGAAGGAAGATGACCCATGGAAATGCCACCCAACCCGCCCTCTCAATCCATGGTGATCCTGCCACTAACCAAACGTAACCGAAGAAAAAAGTGCATCTATAAGACTTGCTCCTCTGAGCATTGCCTGGTGGGAACTCTTTTAAGATGACAGTGTAAAAGAGGATTGAAAACAACATAGTGCATGGAATGTAGAGCAAGCCGATGTGAGCAGATTTGTAACTAAGATAGGACAAGGTAATTCCATCCACGTTTGAAACTGTAATGATGGCGCTGTCCTGGCCCATGGATATGATCTCTGAGGTGGAATGGAGTCTGGATGTATTTGTTCCAACGGAGTACTCGAGTCTAGGGAGGCCTCAGTTCTGGCCACACCAGCGTGTAGCAGTTTCTGAGCTGTCCAAACGACACACTCCCGTCTCGTTTCTAAAGCCCTGCCTTGGTGTGCATGGTTAAATGATCAGTCAGAAAACCTCAACTTGGATAAAATGCCATGAACAGCTGCCTGGAGCTGGTCCGGCTAAACCGTCCCCAAGGCATCCTGGGCTGCCTGTAAACAGGAAGTCTCTACTTTGGGGAAGATGCTTTGTTGCTTTGCCGCAGGGCCACTAGTGCCTTCTCCAAAGATGACCCTTCACCAAGTGCATTGGAAGATGTGATAGATTGAATAGGTATCTCCTGAGTCTCCCGGACAGATACCACATCTTTTGACAGAGCCATGCCAAAATGATTCCAATCAACGAGTCCAAGGGCCCATCCTGGTTCTGGACCCTCCAATTTGGTGCGGCAATCCCCATCCAGCCACTAACGCTGTTTTCCTAAACCGCTTTCCCAGCGGGCGGTGCTCTGTCGGGTTGCCCTGATGCAGCCCTGTATCCTCTGTAACCGGCAGAGTTCACGCAACAGGAAAAGGTCAGCTGCCAGTCAGGAGGAAGCGGTGATGTTGGCTGCTGACCGTGTGCCCTTGTCTTACCCACCAGGCTGAGTTCCATGGTTGATGAGCGTCAGCTAAGGGAGAGGAGGGGGCAGGTTAGAAGAGCTGTGTGTGTGTGTTGAAATAGCCGTCCCTTCTCATTGACCACATTCCCGAAGAGGAGCTAGAACTAGTGCCTGTTTCTCCTTCCCCGTCCCCTCCTCCCCTCACGGGGAAAAAGAATAGCGACCCCAAGTCACACACTGGACCTCGTGCCTGCTGGGACAGGACTGTGGGTTTCTCGGTCGGGCCTGTGTTGATGCTCAATGCAGACATGTTTTCAAATAAAACAGATGATTGTGTACAAGGAAGAGTCAGGCCTCTGATTACAAATCGCCGTGACTCTGCGCAACACTTGAGAACATCTGGAGAAGATGGTAAATTAGTGGCCACCTCACTGCTTCTTGTCTCTGAATGAGTCTTTACAGCAAGGGTGATCTCCACTTCCACCACCACTGTGCTCCCTCCTGCTTCTCAGGGCTCTAGAACACTGCCTGGGGCTGCAGGATGCCTGCGAAGGACTGGCCTGCAGGATGGCCTCGTGGGGGCTGGAGCCCCAGCCCCCACGAGGTCTAAGGTAGCCATTAGAGCAGCGGTTCTCAATCTGTGGATCGCGACCCCTTTGGGGGGTCAAACCACCCTTTCACGGGGGACGCCTGATTCATAACAGTAGCAAAATGACAGGTATGAAGTAACCACAAAAATAATTTCATGGTTGGGGGGTCACCACAGCATGAGGAACTGTATTGTGAAAGGGTCGCGGCCTGAGGAAGGTGAGAAGCACTGCATTAGAGGAAGGACTCACTGGGTTCTGAGCAAGGGAATCTGGAAACTGAGTCTATCACCCTCAAAGCCTCCAGGGTTTCAGGGATGTCCTTGGCTCGTGGGACTTCCTTTTCCAGGAGGGAACGTACAATAGTGTGGAGCCTGGGCAAGTCTTGGAGGGTCAATTGACTGCTGTGGAAAAATGGGCTTCAACACATCAAACAACATGCTTGGGACCGCACTGCCGAAGAGACCAGCATCTTGTACTTAGTACTATGGCTGCAAAGCCCAAATGGCTCCTCAGTCACCAGATGCCACTACCAGGCATTCTGTTTTAGACTTGAGCCTCTGCCAGGAAGCTGTTGAACAGAACAGAGACCAAGACTCACCAGAGTGGTCCCCCATCCATCCCCCCACCACTGCAGGCTCTTGCCCTGGCACTGCCCTGTCTTGCCACTGGAACTCCTCCCAATATCTGGTGCCCAGCCAGACTCCAGGCTCCCTCACTTCTCGGACCCCAGACATTGGGCAACCCCTTCCAGTAGGCATGAGTTGGAGACTGGGTACCCCGAGAACAGGTTCTGAACATGGGGGATCAGATTTCGGTGGTTCCAGGAGGTTTGCCTCAAGCGGCCTCACTGACTTTGGTAAAGTTTTACATCTGTTGTTAAAAAACTGCAGATCAACTTGGTTAAACCCTCACAGATGTGTTTGTGCTGTGGCAGAACTGTCTACATAATTCTCATTTCAGCAGCAGGAGATCTATAAATGGGGTTACGTGATGGAATGTTCTTGTAAAGTCTGCAATACCGGAACTCTGGTGGCCCTTTGGGCTAGGTGTCAGACTGCTAATGGCAAAGCTGACGGTTCAAATCCCACTGCTCAGTCAGTGGAATGTGTTCTTGGCAAGATTTATTTCGGTCACAGAAATCCTGTCTATGTAGGAGCTACTATGAGTCTGAATCAACTTGGAGGTAGTAGGTTTGGGGTTTTGATTCATATTCTCTGAGGAAATCGCTCATCACACTGGATTCTTAATTACCTCAATGCAGATTATTCATTTTTACCTATTTCCATGAAAACATAATTGAAGGTTGCTGAGCTTCCTGCTCTGCTTCCTGAGGCCAAAAGACCTGACTTGGCCCAAAGTCCCTCCTCTCCAATCACCAGCATTTTCTCTGTCCTTTTGCTGAGCCTTTATCGCACCTTATCCCTTCTTGTTGCCTTGCAGTAATAGTCAGGTCTATGTATTTATGCCATATGTATGTACTAGACCATAATGAAATAAGCAGATGCTCATTGAAAAGGAAGGAAAGAAGAGATCAGAGTGGATATGGAAGGGCGGCAGGAATCCACCTCTGAAAGTTGCTCTTGAACACAGAGTAAGTACAGTGACTGGAAGAAATTATGACACAAAAGAGCTGAACAGACATTTTCAAAAGGCGCCTCTAGAAAACAAAGTAAAACATTAAAATGAAATATGCAAAGACCTGGAGTTAGAAAGCCAAAAGTAAAACACAAGTGCAGCTTATCTCAAGATGAAAGAAATGAAAAAAAACAAAAAACTTCAAGCCTCTGGTTACAATATTGAAGGTTCTTGGGCAAAGTACTGAAGGAATCCAGAGTGTGTGCACATGATCAAGGACCAACGGTACTGAACCAAGTGCACAGAGGCACTGGCTACAAACCACTCCAGGGATTGAGGGAATACCCACTGAAGCATTTCAACCAGCTGATGAAGCATTGGAGGAACTCAGTCGTCTATGCCAAGAAATTTCGAAGACAGCTACTTGGCCAACTGATTGGAAGAGATCCATATTTGTGCCAATTCCAAAGAAAGGTGACCTGAGGGAATACAGAAATTCTGAACCAATTGCCTTGCTATCCTATGTAAGTAAACGTTTGCTATAGATAATTCACAAATGGTTGTAGCAGCCAATCAGCAGGAGCTGCCAGCAAGTGCCAG